CTAGTCTAATAGGTACTTTATTATTTGTGAGAAAACCATCATTTTGGACTCAAAAACCAATCTACAAATGAAAAGCCAATTTTTCTCCAGCAATTTCAGAACGACACAATAACATAAATACGACAGATATCTGAGTGTTTTCCACTTTAATCTACAAATCCTTGTGATGAAAGACAATGAAAAAATAGCAATTCTATTAAGCCCTCTCCCAAACATATTAGCAGAAGGTAAATCCAAACACCAAACTGTTCACCCATCTCTGGTGTGCTAATCTTATTCTATTTGCTTGCCTGTGTCAAAGGAAATGGAAAGCTGCTCTCTGTAATTAAATCAGTCAACAGTGGCAGGGCACATCTGGAAAAAACGTATTTCTACCAAAGCACATTACTGGGAAGGAAAAGAAGCACAAGAACATTAGTTAAATGATTTACATATGTGTAAGCATCTCTGCAGCTCAGCGTAATCTGATTTTTTATGCATCAGAACTCTGCACTGCCACGCTATAAAACTCGTGTGCCTTCATGAATTTCTGAACGATTTCCCTTCTCTCAACACCTATATCTCTGTACGGATTACTCTAGAACTCTTTTCCTTAAAGTTTGCTTTTCTTGAAGAGGGGCATTGTATGAACGGACCCTGCCTTTATCGCCAATATTCACCCAACAATCAGAGTACATGGCCACTGTCCTCACCCTTCATGGCCTAAAAGTTTACTCGAATCTTCTAAAGGACCAGATGCAAATGAGTTTTCTACTAAATAGAAGAAAATACCCATGTTTACAAAAGGACTTTCTACCTTTTGGAAACACATGGCTCCAGATTATAACTACTATTTCATGCTTAAGTGGAATGAAATAATCCAACTCAAATTCTGCAATATAATCAACATATGAAAAGAGCTTTTGATAGCTGCATAGTTTAGGCTTATTATTGCCTTACATGTTAGTGAGAAAGCTCATATTCTTTAAACAGAGGATAAGATATATGACATTCTGTTTTCTGAGAAGGCTAGTGACAACTGAAGACACGGGCCATGCAACATTTCCTGTTGCCAAGCACTCCACACTCTCTTTACGACATCTTTTAAGATGGACAGGAAGCAGAGTGGGAATGCTGTCCATTTTCAAAACTACAGTTGCGTTTTTCAAATGCAGTGTCTGAGAAAGGGTCTCAAGACCCTGCCATTGAAGGTATGGAAGTGAGTGAAGGGGCATGCCTTTCTTCATTGCATACACACGGTCTTGTCTTTTCCTTTTCTTTCTTTGAGATATAATTCACATAACAAATTCTTTTAAAGTATACAATTCAGTAGTTTTCAGTATATTCACAAAGTTGTGCAACCACTTCCACTATCTAATTCAAGAATACATTCATCAAGAAACCCTGCACTCATTAGCAGTCACTCTCCTTTTCTCCCTACTCCCAGCCCCTGGCAACCACTAATTAACTTCTGTTTCTATGAATGTGCCTTTTCTGGATATTTCATGTAAGTGGAATCATACAATACATGGACTTTTGTGTCTGGCTTATATCACGTTTTGTTTATCTATTCACCACTTGATGGACATTTGTTTCTACTTTTTGGCTATTATGAACATAAAGCTGATATGAACATTAGTGTACATGTGTTTGTGTGGGCACGGTTTTCATTCTCTTGGGAGTGGAACTCCTGGGTCATATGGTAAGCCTACAATTTAACTTTTTGAGAAATTGCCAACTGGCTTCTACAGAGACTGAAACAGTTTACAATTCCACCAGTGCTTTATGAAGATTCCAATTTCCCCATATCCTTGCTAACTTTAATCTAGAAATCTACTGTCTGTCTTTATTTATTT